AAGGACCCAGAATACCTTGATTTTTTAAAAATTAATTTTATGGGTACATTTTCCATATATGTAATGGTAACATTCATCATAGGGAATTTGTACCTGTATGTATCTTGATTCTTCTTTTTTTCCCCATTTCCCTTCCCTTTCTTCAGCCCTTCTTTCCCTTCTTATTTATAAAAGCTTTGTTTTCTTTTTTTTCTTCTATTCTTTTTCTTTTCCTTTCCTCTTCCTTCCCTCCCCATCCCTTGTTTGCCTTCCCATTTGAACATTTTCTTCCTGCTTCCCAATATCCATCAACTATTTTGGTTCTCGCTTACTCTTTCAATTTCTTACATAAGAGAAATAATGTGATATTCAAACATGTGTGTCTGATTCATTTCACTTGAAAGTATGGTCTCAACATGCATCCATTTACCTAAAAATGCCTCAAGTTTCTCCTTCTTTATGGCAGAGAGTACTCCATTACATATAAAAACCACATCTTCTTTATCCATTCATTGGTTCATGGGCATCTGGGCTGTTTCTAAGATTTACCTATTACAAACTGTCCTGCTATAAATATGGTTGTGTATGTATCGCTGTGGTATGGTGGCTTTTCAGAAAAATAGCTGGATCGAATGCAACCCTCTAGTTTTAGTTTTTTGAGGAATTGTACCAGTTTATACTCCTACCAACAGTGATGAAGGGTTCCTTTTTCCCCACAGCCTCACCAGCCTTTGTTATTGGTTGATTTCTTGATAATAACTATTCTTTCTGGAGTGAGGTGAAATCTTAGTGTTGTTTTAACTTGCATTTCTCAAATGACCAGTGATGTTGAATATTTTTTCATGTATTTATTTGCTGTTTGTACTTCTTCATCAGAGAAGTGTCTGTTCATTGCAGATGCCCATTTTGGGATTGGGTCTTTAAATTTAGGGAGGATCTGATTTTTTTGAGTTCTTTATATAGTCTAAATAATAATTGTTTGAGGAATAGCTGATAATTTTTTTGCCATTCTGTGGGTTTTCTCTTCACTCTGTTGGTGCTTTATTTTTCTATGCAAAAGCTTTTTATTTTTTTAATTTAAAATGTCTTTATTCATTTACATAGTAAATACTGTCCCCAGTTAAAAATCAGCATCTCTTAATATGTCCAGCTTAACTGAAAACTTCAGGTACTTCTTTATCATGTACTGACATACAGAATGTAAATGTCAATAAACAAAGAATTACTAAATAATTTCATACATATGCTACATACATACATAATTTCAGAATCTTGGGTAAATGGTTAAAATTTTAGACCAACATTAAGTGTAGGCACATGGATATTTCAGGTATACCAACAGGCTTAACAGAGATGTTTGTATTGATTTGCTTTCAGTGAATTTTTATTTTTATTTTTTTGGTACCGGGAATCAAACTCACGACCTCACAACCTCACGCTTGCCAGGCAGGCACTGTGCTACTGAGGTATATCCCTGGCCTCAGTGAAATTTTAAATACCCAATTCCAAATCTTGCAGCTCCTGCAGAATGGCTGTCTCTTTTTAAATTTTCTCTGACTGGTTACTTTCTAGTTGTTTTCCAGCTGCTGCTTGTTCTTTTAGTTGACTGTCTTCAGTTTCTTCTTCAAATTCTTAATTTTTTTGTCTACTTCAGGGTCCCCGGAAGTTGACTGAGAGATAGCGTTCATGCTCTGTGCAGGAGTGGGTGCCACATCCGGAGTCTTGTCATTTCTTGCTTCGTGCTTTGCAGCCTTCTTGGCTTCATGCTTCTTTTGAATTTTAAGGGCTGTTTTTGATAACAGTTTTCCATGTCCCGGTTGTGGTTTCATACTCTGGGGTGGTTCTTCCTCATGCAATTTGGAATTGGTAGCTGGTTTATTTCTTAAAACTGGGGGCCTGTAAACTGTTGCAACTTTATGCTCTTCACTGGGCTCTTCACTTGGAACTGCTTGGTAAGTTACTGTTTTTGGTGGAAATACTCCATCCAAGAATGGCTGCCAAGAAACCTGCCACAATTCTCCGTTTGACTGAACATTACACTTGTGCAAGGCAGCCAGTATACTGCCGAATCTTGTACCCATTATTAACATGTAACGTGGGAGCACATATGTAGCAAATATGTAGAATCACAAGCTACTGGTTTAGAAATAAGTTTGTAGTTTTTAATGTCCCACACTTCCATAAGTTCCCCTCAGATTTCCAAGTCCAGCTAGTACTAATATATGTCCATGAGGGCTATAGTAGGCTGCACTGCAAGGACCAGTTCCAAAGTCAAAAACAGGATCACATTTCAGATTAAAAACTGTTGCTTTGGCAGGCATAAAACCGTAGGCAGCACAAAACTCAGTTGAACTAGAATTCCAAACTACGTCATAAATGGGGCCATTTTTTGGCAATTTTTTGCACCGTGGCAGTTTCTCCATTTGTTGCAATATAGTGCAGTGTTTGTTCTCCATAGTAGGAAGCTCCTGTCTTGTCAACTTCTGTGCTAGTTATTACCAACACAGCAGGAGCTTTTTCATTCCACAGCATTGTAACCTTATCAGCTTTAAAAAAACTCTTATTGGCTAAAACTGCATGAGGTCCACCAAAGTTGGGGTACTGGTATAATCTAACAATTGAAGGTGCACCTTTACTTCCTGGAACAGCTACCTTCTATGGTTGGGGTCCAGGTGATAAAACAAAATCATTAATTTTATGCAAATGCAATTTTTTAGCAATTGTGTTAAAATTGTTGTTTTCAAAGAAGTGAACTTCACTGTTAACATTCGGGCACAGATAATTTCATCTTCTGACCAGGATGGACACCAGTTTTGTGTTTTTTCTGTATAAAAGATTTCAAACATGTCCTGGTTTTTACATCATAAAGTTGTAGGTTGAGTATCCCAGCTGTGCCATCTTTAGAAGTTGTGTAAGGCTGCCACATTGCCAGGATAGTGGTTTTTGGTGATAATTTAAGGCAAACTGTCTTTAGAAGGTCAAAAGAGTACAGTAGTCTCTTGTTAGTGATATTGATGATATTTACTTTTTCTCCATTGCCACAGGCAAGCAAGGTCCCATCCTAACTAAAGGTATAAATTTTGCAGTTTTTCCCAGGTTCCCTGTCAAGAGTGGTGTGGAGGGTGCCATCTTGTCCAAGAAAAAGAAAAGGCAAAACCTCTTAAAAAAAAAAGAAAAAAAAAAAAAAAAAAAAAAGCTCTTTAATGTAATGAAATCCCAGTTATTGATTCTTTGTAACACTTCCTATACAATCAGGGTTTAGTTCACAAAGTTGTTTCCTACACGTAGGTCTTCAAGAGTTGTACCTATTCTGCCTTCCAGCAGATTGTTTCTGTTTTTATATTTAAATCTTTCATCCATTTCCGTTTTATTGTAGTGCGTGGTGAGAGATATGGGTCTAGGTTTAATCTTCAGCATGTAGGAAACCAGTTTTCCCAGCACCACTTATTAACGAGGCTATCTTTCTTCCAGTAAAGCATTTGGCCCCGTTGTCAAAAATAAGGTTGCTGAAAGTGTTTGGAGGTGTTTCTGCATCTTCTATTCTGTTCCACTGATACTTGGGTCTGTTTTTTGTTTTTTGTTTTTTGTTTTCCAATACCATACCATTTTTAGCTTTGTGGTATTATTTTTTAAATCAGGGATTGTGATGCCCTCTGCCTTGCCTTTGTTGCTGAGAATTGCTTTTGCTATTCAAGGTCTCTTCTAGCTCCAAATGAATTTTTAGGATTTTTTTTTTCTAATTCTGTGAAATATGTAATTGGTATTTTGATCAGGATTGCACTAAACCTGTATAACAATTTTGAAAGTATGGCCATTTTCACTATGTTGGTTCTGCCTGTCCAAGAACAAGGGATATGTTTGCATTTTCTGACAGTCCTCTTTGTTCTTTTTTCAGAGTACTGTAGTTTTCAATGTAAGTCTTTTTTTACTCCCTTTGTCAGATTGATTCCTATGTATTTCATTTTTCTTGATGCTATTATGAAAGGTGTTACTTCCCCAATTTCTTTCTCAGTGAGTTTGTTATTTGTGTATAGGAATGCTGTTGATTTTTGAGTGTTGACTTTGTATCCTGCTATGCTAGTGAATTTGGTTATAAGTCTAGAAGTCTTTTAGTGGAGTTTTTAGGGTCTTCTATGTAGAGAGAGTATCATGTCATCTGCAAATAACAATAATTTACCTTGTTTCCTTATTCTTATTTCTTTTATTTCTTTCTCTTGCCTAATTACTCTGGCTAATGTTTCCAAAACTCACCCTCACTGTGTCTTTGTAGATTCAAGCCTCGTCTCTCACACCATGAGTCAGGAGTCAGGAGAAAGTGCAGTTTGCCCTCTCCTTTTCCTGCATTGAGGTGTTTCTGTTCACTTTCCCTGTGGCCTCCAATTCTCCCTAGAGATCCTTCCTGGGTGCCAGGGAATCCACCTCCCTCCTTCTTTTCTTCCCCAGATTGGTACATTCCAGTGTCTGGATTCCAAATCTCAGAAAGGCTGATTTGCCGCTGTTTACCACTGTGCCATCTTTCTGGAAGTCTCATCTTGAGTGCTTTTCACTCAGTTTGCTTAACTAAGTAGTGGGTGATAATGTAGGAAATGTACTGGGCTGTGATTGGCCTGGGGGCCATATTTGCTATTTATGCGGCCATGGGCTAATGACAGTTGTGTCAGGTTTGTGAACATTTACTATACTATGTATTTATGATACATACATTTTCATATATGTGTGCACATATATATTTTTATATGTAATTTTTTAAAGTTCTCTATAAACTTCCCTATAAATACTACTAATATTGTGGGGAATATTTCCAATCTTTTATCTCCATGTGTATATTTTTAGAATAAAACTGAGATTATTACATCATGAATATTTTCCTTAACATGAAATACTGTTCCACAGAATAATTTTTAATGGTCACACAGTCCTTTGAAAAGTATAAGACATCATGCCATGTACCATGGTGATATCATTCCTTCTTTAAGGTGAAATTCTGTTTAAAAGGCTTTAATTTCTTCCTTTCTCTGTAGGGGACATGGTCGCAAAGTACCGAGACCCTTTGATCCATACCTTCCTGAGGGGAGTGAGAGATCCAGATGGTGCCCACAGGGCCAGCAGCTTAGCCAACCTGGGAGAGCTGTGCCAGCGCCTGGACTTCCTGCTGGGCCCCGTGGTTCATGAGGTGCTGTATGTTGACTGCTTGCTCTAATGCTTCTTCTTGCTTGGCGTTGAGAGTAGGGGACAGGCAAGGAATTTCCTTAGGTTTTGTTTGTCTTGTATGTATAATTGAAAGTTTTGATGCAGGTTGCACATCCCTAATCCAAAACACTCCAAAATCTGAAACTTTTTGAGCCCTAACACAGTGCCATAATTGGAAAATTCCCACACCATGAAACTTTGTTTCGTGCACAGAATTACTTAAAATGTTGGACAGAATTATTTTCTGGCTGTGTATATAAGGTTTATGTGAAACATAAATGAATTTCGCATTTAGACTTGGACCCTATCCCCAAAATAACTTATTGTGTATATACACTTATTCTTTTTTTTTGGTACCTGGAATCAGACTCACGACCTCGAGGTGTTCAGGCAGGCACTGTGCCACCAAGCTGCATCCTCTACTATATACATTTATTCTAAAATTCAAAAAAAATTTGAAATCCAAAACAGTTTGGCCCAGGCATTTCAGATAAGGGATAGTCACTCTGAAATAAGACTGTCAGTTCCAAGTGACAGGAAATCATCATAAGCAATATATAATGACTTATAAGGATTCTAAGGTAACTAACAGAGTGATTGACCCTGTCCCACTACTACAGACCTGCACCATTTCTGCTCCCTCAGTTCCCCGTGTGCTTAGAATCATTAAGAAAGTGAGCATGGCAAGGGCAAAACCGGGTTTTATTCATCTCTCATACCTGCTCGCACCTTTCACAGTGCTTGGCATATAGTGGGTGCTGAGTGTTGGCTGATTAATATCAAAAGGAGAAGAAGTAAGGCAAGTTGGGAAGACTAGTTCCTACATGTTTAAAAAATAGTCAGAATTCTCAGTATTCTTCTGAAATCCTCCCATACATCAGTTGATCCAGTCCTCGCCAAGGAGACTGAGGCGCAGAGAAACTAAGTAAGTTGCCAAGGTCTCGAATATAGGCGGGCCTGCAGAATGTGGACAGTTAGAGCTCCAGAGCCCGTGCTGTTCGTCACTCCTCTATCTTGTCTCTCAAGAAGTTTTTTTTTTTTTTTTTTTTTTTTTTTTGGTCTTTTTGAGACAGGGTCTCACTGTGCAGTGCAGGCTGACCTTGAGCTCATTTTATAGCCCAGGCTGGTCTCAAACTCGCAACAATCCTCCTGCCTCAGCCTCCCCAGTGCTGGGATTATAGGCATGTGCCACCACGCCCAGCTCTCAAGAAGTATTTTTGGTTAATTTTTAAGACTGCCTTTTTGCCTTGAAACAGCAGAATATCACCATGAGAAAAGCCATAGGCAGGAAGGGTCATGTAGCTGTGCCTTAATAGAGCTTGTTTTTGGCAGTGAAACTTCAGAAGGATTCCCTCTGATTTGGAAAACCAGGTGTTTCCATCCCGTGTAATTTCTGTCTCATCTTTTTAGATGTTCTTTCTTATGTAGCATCCCACGCCTGCCTTGTCGTCAGTGCCAAGCCAGCCACCTTGGTGGACTACAAGTTTGAACATGCTTGGAGACCTGCCAGTTTGAGTGTTTCAGCCACTGAGTCCTCCTACAGTCTGACAGCTCAAGTCCCTCCACATGGAGAGAGTAGGCTTTTTGGCCTGGCTTTTTAGTAGTTCTTCGTACGTTTATTCATTCAACAAATATTTACTGAGCCCATGCTCTGTGCCAGTTGGCCTACCACCAAGCCATATGCTAGGTGTTGGGGACCCCGCTGTGAACATAGTAAAGGCCCTGTCTTCGTGAACCCGACATTCTGGAGAGGAGAGGTAGGCTATAAACAAGTAAATAAATTTATGCTGTGTCAGGGCGGTAAAGCTAGGAAGGTACATCTAGGAAGGTGAAGGCACAAAAGGAGCTTGTTAATGTGCGTGACTCAGCTGGACAGGAAAGGCTTCCCTGATGAGTGACATTTGAGCAAAGACCCAAAGAAGCAAGCGGGTGATCCAGATACCTGAAAGGGAACATTCCAGGCAGAGGGAGATGCAAGCATTGAGCCCTGAGGCACAGGCAGGCTTGACATGCAGGATGCACCAAGGCCGGTGTGACTTGAGAGAAGCGGTGAGATAGCCAATCCAAAGAGAGCTTGAGTGGACTCTGGCTTCTCTGGTGAGTGAGATAAGAAGCCAGAGCAGAGGAATGAAATGGTTTAGCTTTATTTTAGAGAATTGTGTGGCTTCTTCTGTGACATCTGTTTTGGTGTCTCATGAAAGCTCTTGAAGTGTTGTAATCTTAGAAATATAGGTACTCACCTCCAGGGTGAACTGGTTAAAAAAAAAAAAGGGAATTTTAACTTGTCTTTGCAGCCTGAAGGAAATCTTCGTGAGCATTGGTCATGTGCCAGAAGTGCTAGAAGACACAATAAAGGACCCAGTATCATCCTCTCTGGAAATTTCCATACAGTGTGAAATAGACAGGGGACAGAGTGATGCTGTGGAGCAAGCTCAATGGGCTGAGGGAACACGGAGCTGGGAGCGTGTGTGCGACATGCCAGGGCATCAGGAAGGTTACACACGGATCAAATGCTAGCCAGGCAGAGGAAGAAGAAAAGAGTAATCTGTTTTGATACAAAGTTGAACCAACTAGTTCCCATAGTCTCCTCTGACATGATCCAGTCTGGGGCATGAGCCCCGCTCAGCTGCAGCACATGAGCATCGGAAGAAAGCTGCCTTAAGGTCGGGTGGTCCAGATCTGGGCACTGTCTGTGGTGCTGGCTGGTAGGGAGGGAACAGGAAGTGCAGGCTCAAACCCTTCCACAGTCTTCATCCTAGAAATTCAACTTTTTCTTCTCTGCTGATGTCAAGATTTAACCTGTTTAGGGAATATTATTATTCTTTCCTGGTTTCTCCTTGTTCTTGTCAAGATCTGTATTGCTCAAAACCAAATTTTGATAGGCTCTTTCATCTTTATCACTGTATATGAGAAGTAAATAGAATTGAAGTGAACCAAGGTGAGAGGCCTGTCCTCAGTTCAGCGAATAAAATGTGCCCCAGGTGACAAGTCCAAGGAGCAGTTTACTTTTATGCAGTGCCCAAAATTCCTCACACCTGAGCTTTGAGGCTTTCTACAAAGCTACCGCCTCTGATTCCAGTATATGATCTGAACTTATTACCAGTTTTGTCACTATTGGTGTAGGTTCCTAAGTGTCAGAGCTCATGCAGGATAAAGATATGTAGACTATTGAGATGAAGACTTGGCGGATGTTCTGGGAAATCCCGAGGAAGCTCAAGTAGCTGCCATGGTTTCTTTCCTGGCAGGTTGAGTGAGCTGAGCTCATAATAATTATTGGTTACACTGCTTTTGCTATTAAGGTTTCTTAGTTCACAGATGGTCTAGTTTCAGACAAGTTAGCAGACAGACCAAATTTTAACGAAGGAAGCTTTAGGAAGAGGGTAAAGATACGGTTGGAAAATTGAAGCCATGCTTCTTTGATACATAGCGCAACTCTGATATTTTCTTTCCTGGGATTTTTCAGTGTCATTTTTGGGAAATTTTAGCAGTTAGATTATCTTCATTTTTATAATTCTGATTATGCTTGATGTGTGCCAGCTCTTTGGGGAGTGTTCTTTCCTTATTTCTGTTAGTTCCTATGAAGTGTTAAATTCCTTAAACTCTTTAGTGTTTCTAAAGCAGCCATCATCTGCCTTTTGTATAGCTTTGAGAAATGGACATGATTTGTATGATTTAGCCAGCGTAGCATCATTTCTGAGAATAGGTACATTGACCCTCACGGCAGGTGTCATAAAAATCACACCGAATAGGTTTCTGCTCTCTGGGAGAACTTACAAATAGAGAGTAGAAATATTACACCAAAAAAAGAAAGAAACATTACACCAATTCATAAATTAGTAAAAACCTTACATCATCTACCTATCATTCCCCAAGGCTCTTAGGGATGGAAGGCAATATTGAGTATGTCCTTGGGGTTGGCGGTCAGAGTCGCTACGGAGTGACTTGTTCAGACTGTGTAGATGAAAGAGAGCAGCCTTGCATCCTCCCTGCGCCTAGTGTTAGGGTCTGACCCACTGGCCTGCAGGAGAGCTGGACATGGGTGTTTGATCTTGACCTCTATGTGGTGTCTACAAAAGCATATTAAAATCTTGGTGCCCTAAAAACATTTTGTACGACCATTCTGTATTTCCTGGGATTTGGTCCTGTCCTGGTAGAGCAGGTGTTTAAGGAAGATTTGTGAACCTCTGCTGTTCTCAGTGCTCTTCCTGATTATCTTGGGTGGCTCATTGCAGTGGACTTTGTATAATCTAACACATAAGGCACTAACAGCCAATAGCAAGCAGGAGATCATCCCAGCTGACCTCAGCAAGGCTCACAACAACCAGCTCCTCTCAGCTGTTCCTTCAAGGCAGCACAGGGATTCAGTAGACTAGGCCTTGAAGGGAAGGCCATTTTCTAGTCAGGATGTTTCTGCCTGGATATCCTGATTGTGGTACTAATACCTGACAGTCAGAATTGGCCTTCCACTGAGAGCTGAGGGAGAGTGTCCCACTTAGCATAGTGAAGCTAAGCAGAGGAGGCAAAAGCAGATACCAACAGGATTCTAGAGCAGGAAGTCTTATTCTGCTGAAGTAGAAGCATGAGCACCAAGCTAAATTCAAGGGAACAGGCAGAAGCTTGGGTGCCTGTGCTCGTGACATTACCCTGGGCAGCTTTAGGCATTAGTTATCGGACGAATGAGCTAAACTTTCTTGTGTCAAGAAAGACTCCAACCTAGCTCTAACTTGTTTCTCTGACTTCAGCTCTTACCTTGTAAATACTAAGCCTGAAAGTCGAGGTAGCTATTATATTGTTGCCTGTTTGGAGGTGACCCAAGGAATTCCTCTTAGGACTGAATTGCTTTTACTGTTAATGCCAGAGGCATGGAAGCCAGTGCTGGCCTCAGAGTCAGGGTCTCAGGTCAACAGCAGAAGCAGCTTCCTGGGTCTTATTGAAAAACAGCCCCCAGTGAGTTAAACTTCTCTCTTCCTTCGCAAGCTGCAAGTTTATCTAATAGATGGACAACTTGATTAAATGCCAGTGCATCACAGATGCAATTCTACTTAAAAACAAGCTCTTTCTTCTAATCTCTCTGCCATCGCTGATTAATTAGATACTTTGAACTATGCCCAACTGTTTGAAAGCTGTGAAAAATACAACCTGCATAGTTAAAATTTCTGTACAAGCTTATTTCCTCATTTGTGCCTGTATTCATCATTCTTTGAATATAATATGTATTTATACATGTTTCCAAATACACAATCTGGTTATTTTCTTACCATGGTTAGAAATCCTTCTATTACTGGCCAAAAAATATATGCACACAGAAAATTCAGTAACAAAAGTATCTGAGACACTGATTGAATAATTCAGATATACCTTTAGGTTATTACGGCTATCAGTCACATTTGCAAAAGTTTTTCTAGCTGGGTGTGGTAGTATACACCCGTAATCTCAGCACTCAAGAGGCTGAGGCAGGAAGGTTGCTATGAGTTGGAGGCTAGCCTAAACTACAAAGCAAGACCCTGTCTCAAAAAAAAAAAAAAAATTGTATGTTTTTCTTTTTAAATTTTGCATGAGTGGCTCAGAAAAGCTTGTTGTTGCCAGGTATGGTGACACACATCTGTAATCTCAGCACTCAGGAGACTGAGGCAGGAGGATCGTTGTGAGTTTTGAGACCAGCCTAGGCTACAAAGTGAGCTCAAGGCCAGCCTGAACTTAATAGCAAGATCCTGTCTCCAAAAGACAAAAAGAAAAAGAAAAAAGAAAAGCTTGTTGTTATTGTTAATGATATCTCTTTATTGAGATTTTGAAATGTATTTGTACCTAGCAAGAATCGGATAGTGATAGGGTACAGGGTATTAAAACACTTACTTTATAACATATAATTATTAGCTGTATACCTGGCACCATATTTTGCAAGGAATTTCTAGTCTTTTTTGTTATAACTATCTTTGAAAGTAACTGAGCACAAAAGACCCATTCCACAGATAAAGAGGCTCAGGATGGGAATTTCTCAGACTGGCTCCTGCTGACTTATGGGGTGGACATTAGATTATAAGACTAGGATATCTGGATGCGAGGAAGATCAGTGTGAATGTTCCTCTATTTCTATATTCCTGGGCTGAAACTTTTATTAGGGTACATTTGTATTCATGCCATGATCTCTGGGTCTGTATAGCTAAATCTCCATGGTCCTCGGTCCCTAGAAGCAGCTGTTTTGGACCATCCTTTCTTCCTTTGATTTAATGTCCCCAAAGTGGGACACAACAGGTTTTTTTTGAGTATATCTTTGAGCTTATCTTGCTTGAGATGGATGTTATACACATATATTCCTTGCTACTCTGATCTTCCTTCTGAATTCCAAACCAGATTTTTTCCTTCTCCAGAAAACCCAGGCTATATCTATCTCACCTTCTTCACTGAAGATGAGGAAGCTGTTCCACACTTTCTAACCCAAATTGCACTTAGCGAATGTGTAGTAAGTACAACACAGTTGAAAGGCTCCAGGTAACTGTGCAGTCCTGATTTTGATTGACTTCTTCGCTCGCCCTCCTAGGTGACAGCTTGTGTGATTGCCGTGGCTAAAACAGACGATGAAGTTCAAGTCCGCAGAGCTGCCATCCACGTGGTTGTGCTGCTGCTTCGGGGTCTCAGCCGGAAAGCTCCTGAGGTAGGTCAGCCCGTTCCCGTCTCCTCGTCTGTCTTCATTCTCCCTTTACCAGGGCAGGCGCAGAGCTTTTCCCTGGACGGTCTCATGCACGTGAACCAGCCAACAGGGCCTTGGTAGCAGGAAAACAGTACTGTGTGCACCTTCAGTAAAAGTCTGTGTCTCCTCTCTAACCTATTGGGCAACCACCCAGTACCTGCCACAGAAAAACCTGAGCACGTCTTTACAGATTGAGGCTCCGAATCCTGGCATTCTCCGAACAGGCAGGTTCCAAGGTGAGCTAGCTGGAACACATTAACCTGCCTGCGCTGCCTGAACTCTAATGACCTGCTCTCCCGGCTCATTTCATTGTTCCCGCTAACCTACTGAAAGCCTTCATTTAAGGTGTTTCCTTCCTAGCTCCAGATTCAATCCAGGAGATGCTCACTGCTGCATAAATTAAACTTTCGTCCTTCCTCAGGTGGGTGTAGCTGGATTTCCCCTGCCTGTATGGCCAACGCAGGAAGAAAATGGATATGTCCATATATGTGCTAAGAGTGAGTGATTCCTCAAAATGAATTTTCTTCTTGGTTTTATGGAAACTCATTCCCAGTTGACTTGAAATGAGAGTTTGCATTAATAATTCAATTCCTGGCATCCACAGCGATCATCTGTGGCTCACACATCAGTGTTTAACCGAGAGTTGGGGAAGCCGTGTAAGAGTGATGGTTTTGTCACCCCAAGGGCTTTATTCATGGTAGAATTTTACCGTATCAGGTTCCCAGTACCTGCTTCTACATGCATGGACTCTTAGTTATCCCTTCCTGCCCTGCACAGCCACAGTTCTCTATAACGGCAGCTAGGCCGTGGAACCTCCAAAAGGCCCCTTCCCTATTCTCTGCTCTCAGCAGCACTTCCCTCCCTTCTCATCCGCTTGTCTGGTTAAAATTTAGATTGGATGAGTTTATCTGGTATGAACATGTTCAGCTACAGAGAACTATAATGGCCTAAACAAGTAAGGATTTGTTTTTTTCTGCTAACACAGGAAATGCATAGAGAGGTGCTGTTTGTTAGTGGTTCGATATAAACAGAGCCGGTATTTCTATAATCCTCGTGGCCTTTGTCTCAGGGCTACAGGACAACTGCTGCAGCTGTGGCCATTATAACTAGCTTGAATGAATAAGAAAGAAGCTGGGAGAAGGACAGCCCTAGATACTTTTATGTCCTTTTTTGATGAACTAGAACCGTTTACCAGAACCCCCTAGCTAACATGTTTCATTGGGCAGAACTGTCTCACATAATTAGTTCTCACTGCAAGAGAACCTGACGGTGTATTTAGCTGGTGCATTGCTGTTCTGAACAAAACTGAATTTTAGTTAGCAAGAAGAGGTCAGGAAATGGGTACTAGGGAGCTGACTAATAGGGACACAAAGGAGAATGAGAAAGAATGACGTGGCTGATGTGAGGACTTCTGTAGAGATAGAATTGCTTTGTAACTGTGAGCTCTCACCTGGAGGCATTGGAGGCTCGAGATTATTATCTAGGATTTTGACGGGAATAGGGAATAGGGGTCATATAGATCATAACTTGATAATTCATATAATTACGTGAACTGCTATAGGACACACACTGTTCTTGTTAAAAATCTGCTGTATAAGAAAGAGGGAGTCAAGAAAAGCCAGGCATGGTGGTGCACACGTGTAATCCCAGCACTCAGGAGGCTGAGGCAGGAGGATTGTTGTGAATTCAAGACGTGCCTGGGCTACAAAGGGAGCTCAAAGCCAGCCTGAACTGCATAGTGAGACGCGATCTCAAAAAGAAAAAAAAAAAAAGAAGTCAAGAAAGATGAGGGGTTTTCAATCCATCATTAAGAGCTACACAACTCTTGGTAAATGTATCATTGTATCATTGTTATGTAAGTCATTAACAACTAGGGAAACTTGTTGAGAAGAGTACAAGGGACTCTACTATCTGCAGCTTTTTTGTAAGTCAAATTATTTCAAAATTAAAATTTATTAAAGAATATAAATTATAACACTATTAAAGAAATTTGTAAGACTTTGGGGCTGGGCTGTATAGCTCAGTGATAGAGCACACGCTTAGTGTGCACACGGCCCTGGGTTCAATCTTCAGCACCAAAAAAACCCGCTGTAAGTGCGCACATCCTTACTGAGTGAGAGTGAGAGCACGTGTGTGTTGAGGGGGAGCAGTTCCTTACGCATACAGAGGAGAGCAAAAATGTTTGATTAGCAAAGTGGGGGAAGAAATACGAAGAAGCTCTATACAGATTTCTCACATCTGTCTATAGCAAGTGAAAGCAACACTGCTTGTCTCACCAGTACTAAAATAATTTGGGGCTGCGGAAGATTTTTGTCACTTTCAAAAAAGTTTGTGAATGAAAAACCTCCCTCATGTTCTCTAAACCACCTCTAGTCTGCACTCCCTGAAACATAAATTGCTCTTACTCAGTGAAAAAAAAAAAAGGAAATGGGATGGGACGAGGGTGTGATAATCAGGGACACTTTAATGGAAAACGGAGGTAACCACAAGGCTTTCAATCTTGGATTTCTCTTTATAGTTCTGTTTTATCCCTAGGAACAGCTGAAATGGAAATGCTGCTTTGTCAATGAGGTGGGTGTGTGTGCGTGCGTGCGTGCGCGCGTGCGTGTATATATTTTCCTTCTAATCACCACCTTTCAAGCTATAGGGTGCCAAAAGCTAATACTCGGTTTCAGTGAATTTTCTGGTACTTGTGGATGTGCTGGTCAAGGACCTTTGCAGTCATGGCAGCTTGAAAGGGAAGTAGAAGAGAGAGGTTGGAATCAAGGAGAAGACATCAGCAGCCCCAACTCATAAGGTAGTTTTTACCCCTTTCCCATTTTAGCCAGATTTTATGTAATCAACATGGTATCCACAACGAAGAGAAATCCCCCAAACACTTCTGAGGAACCTGTTTTCTCTGCTGAGCCTTATCTTAGCCTGATTGTTCTGTAACTTGAAGTTTAGTTGAAAACCAGAAGGAACTTTCTTTAAACCCATTCTACCTTACCCTTGCTGAAAAATAAAATAAATTTACTAGGAATACCCAGAAGAGGAAACATGTCCAGACCTGCCTTTTGTGTTGGCCTCAGAGTTAAGGATAGGCCCTTCTCAACACTAAAAAAGTGACCTAAGCGATAGAACAAATGGTGCGTGTCCCTTTGCTCTACAAGTTGTTTGGTTGGTTGGTTTTTTTTTTTCCTTTGGTCTTTTTGAGGCAAGGTTCACTATGCAGTCCAGGCTGTCCTTAGCTCACTTTGTAGCCCAGGTTGGTCTCAAACTCAAAATGATCCTCCTGCCTCAGCCTCCCGAGTGCTGGCATTATAGGCATGCACCACCATGCTTGGCTTAACAAGTTTGATTTTTGTACCATAACATTCTATTTATTATAAATGTTTAGGGCGTGGGGTATAGCTCAGCAGCACAGCCTGGCAAGTACAAGGTCCTGAGTTCGATTCCTGGTACAAAAAAATGTCTAGAACATTTATTCATAAATGTGTTCCAAAAACAATAATCGGGCACCAATAGTTGAACACTAGCCTTTCAGACTGGCTGTCCAGGTACTGTCTGTCAAGTTTGGACATAAATGAGCAACAACCAGGTCAGGGATTTAGCTCAGTGGCGCAGCTCCTGCCTGGCAAGCATAAGGTCCTGAGTTCGATTCCTGGTACCAAAAAGACCCCCAAAAACTTAGAAAACCCTTCTGTTAGCGCCTGCTTGGCAAGTGCAACGTCGTGAGTTCTCTTCCTGGTACCGGGGAAAAAAACAAAAAAAAAAACAAAAAGCCAAAAAAATGAGCAACAACCTGAAATCACTGGAAAGGATTTAGAAGCAGGCAGATTCTGAAGGGGAGGCCGTGCTTAGAGAGGTGATATACACTGTGAGCTCCCATTTTCCTGGATTTTAACCTCCAGGCAAGTGTAAAAGGCTATTTGGCAAGGAATGCAACACAACAGGAGCCCTGAGTCTCTCTGACCTGGGGAACCAGAAGATAGAATCTGGGAAAACCACAGGAGAAAGAGGAGCAATGCTAGAAGAGAAAGATCCTGAGAGAGGGTTCACAAATGCTCCCTGCATCTCTGTGTATCAAGGAAGATAGCTGCTTGCTTAAAAATGAAACCAAGCCCCGCATGGTGGCACATGCTTGTAATCACAGTATTTAGGAGGCCGAAGCAGAAGGATCACCACAAGATCAAGGCCAACCTGAGCTACATAGCAAGACTCTGTCTTAAAAAACTGAAAAGCATCCCGGCGTGGTGGCGCATACCTGTAATCACAGCTCTCGGGAGGCTGAGGCAGGAGGATCATTGTGAATTTGAGATCAGCCTGGGCTACAAAGTGAGCTCAAGGCCAGCCTGAACTGCATAGCGAGACCCTGTCTCAAAAAGAAAAAATTAAAAATAAAATCCTACAGTTGAAAAAAAAAACTAAAAAGCAAAAACAGGGACAGGGGATGTGACTGGCACAGCACTTGTCTGGCGTGCAAAAGGCCCTGGGTTTAGTCTCTAGCATCAAGAGAGACAGAAAGACAGAGAAAAGAAGGAAATACCTACTGGAGAACAGAATCCACAATTTCCATAATTTAACATTTACAATATTTAGGATATAATACAAAATTATATAACATAGGAAAAACCAGGAAAATAGAATATATTCTCAAGAGAAAACCAACTGAGACCAACCCCAAAATAATACTGACATTGGGATTATCAAAGGTTTAAAAGTAGATATTATAATTGTCAATAAAGTAAAGGAAAGATATTCCTGCAGTTAGTAAAAAGGAAATCTCAAAAACCAGAAATGATACAAATAATAAAGAGCCCAGTAAAAGTTCTAGAACTAAAAAATATGATTTCTGAATTAAAAAAAAAAAAAACTGGAAATATAAGCAGAAAGGAAAAAAACAAAAAAAAAGAATTGAAGATAGAATAACTCAAGATCAAAATGGACCAAATGGCTGTTAAAACAGAAACACTTAATGTGCT